AGATCCTCATCTAACGGACATGCAATGTTTTTAAAACCTAATGCATGTAGCGAACCTAGTGAATGATTTTGTTGTTTTATGCAAAAAAACACAACAAAAACCTAAGTCGCAAAATAAAACAGCATGCTTGGACGTAAGGAGAGCGGAGACAGAGGAAAATCAATATAATGCGTATTACTAAGGGTATGCTGGCCTGGCGCGGTACGCTAAACATCATGGGAGTGGGTGATGATGATTATTATGTATTGCACATTTGGATGCTGAAAATAAAATTAAACGTTTTAATCTTCTGATGCGTGACTTTACATACCTTCAAAGCCCAGATCAAAAATGACCTTTATGGAAATGCTTTCAGATGTGATTTTTAGTTATTTATGAATGTCCAGGGTAACATGTCTCTGAGTTGTGCTTTTAAGAATTACTTTCATGTCTGGAGTTATGAGTTTGAGTGTTTTTTTTTTCTAAAGCTAATGAGTACTAATGAATTCTTTTCTATGATGCAGGTGAAGTATAAGGAGGGCTGTCAGAAGGAGGCGTCCTCCTCCCTGTACCACCTCCTTCCAGAGACGCCTGAGATGCATCTGGCCAATCAGGTGTTGGACATGCAGAGCGAGGTGCAGCTACGTTCACTGAAACCCTTTGCTCCTCGTTTCCACCGCCGCTCCTCCATGTTTGCTGCTTCTTTTTCCTCTGCAGGTGAAGTACAAGAAAGAAATGGAAGATCTACCAAACACGCTTTACTCGCTGATGCCTGAAACTCTGGAGACGCAGTTTGTCAAAGAAATGGCGGAAATTCACAGTGAGGTAAAACCTGTTTTACTGATGTCCGCTATCTCTTATTGGAGGGAAATAAAAAGTCTGCTAGAGGATTAAAGATGTGTTTTTATGGAAGAGTATTAGGGCCACTGAAAAAATAAAAAAGGTTTACTTATTTTTAATTTTATTTCAGTATAAGAAAAGTTCTGAGTCAGAGTTCTGACTTTAATCTCAGAATCAGTTAACTTTGTTTTATTTTTTCAGTGGCTTTGAACTTCCATATGTTTTAAAACCGTTTTTAGCCTAAATATTACACATTATATGAATACGTAATATGTTCTTGGATTACCTTAAAAAAATAATAAAAATATTCCTTTGTTCTTCCTGTATTTTGTCTGGACATTTACTTTAAATATGGTTTGGAAAATGGTGAAGAAAAAAAGTTTTAGTTCTTTATTTAACTTCCCAAACAAACATGTTAAGTATGTTAGGGCGGCATGCTCAGATCTGATTGGTCCAGAGCTGATAAATCTGCTTGGTGATGTCACAGTGGTTTATCAGCCAGATAAAAAGGCTCCATAGAAAATGGAAGAGTTCACTGCAGAGTAGACTGAGGATGATGGTTAAAGCCTGCAGCTGAGTGAGGCTGCTGCTTTCTCTGCATCAGGTGAAGTACAAGCAGGAGGCGAAGGAGCAGACGTCTTCATCGCTTTACTCCAAACTGCCGGAAACTCTGGAGACGAGACATGCTAAAGAAGTGATGGAGCTGCAGAGTGAAGTGAGAGATCCTCCTTTCATATCTGGTCTTTTTCCCTCCTTAGTTCAACCTTTTTTTTACCCTTTTTTTCAGTATAAATCCATGTTATTTACCAGAAAAATAAATCACTATACAAATGAAAGAATCAACATTCACTCATCAAACATCTCTGCAGAATAGATTTCTAATCTGTGTCTCTGGATGTTTGTTTCCATCAGAAAAAATACACAGAAGAAGGAAGGAAGGAGATGATGTGTCCTCTGTACTCCCAGCTTCCTGAAACTGCTGAGACACAGTTTGCACGAGAGGTGACAGAAATCCTGAGCGAGGTGCGGCTCCTCAACTCAACTCAACTCAACTTTATTTATAAAGCGCTTTCAGTCAGCCAAAGCTAAAATCAAAGCGCTGTACAGGTCATTTGAGCAGATTGTAAAATACAATTATCACCACAACACAGGACAAACTCAAAGATTAAAAAAAACAGTAAGAGCAAAAAAGTTGAAGTCTCACTCAAAGGCCTGAGAGAAAAAGTGGGTCTTTAAAAGGGTTTTAAAAGAGCTGAGTGGAGTCCTCAGACTGCTGCTCTACTACAACCAAACTATATTTTAACCATATCTAATTCAATTCAGTTTAATTCAATTCAGTTTATCTATATAGCACCAATTCACAACACATGTCATCTCAAGGCACTTTACAGTTCACCAGATGATCCAGTCAAATTGATTCAAAGTTTTCTATCTAAGGAAAACGAGTTGATTCCATCAACTCATTGACTCGAATGCAATCCCTCACACTAAGCATGCTTGTAGCGACAGTGGAGAGGAAAAACTCTCTTTTAACAGGAAGAAACCTCCAGCAGAACCAGGCTCAGTGTGAGCGGCCATCTGCTGAGGCCCACTGGGGTTCAAGGAGACAGAAGCAGAGATATAGAAATCAACTGTAAAAGAAGAAATAAAAATGGGAGCAAAAACAAGTTATAGCTGATGTCTGTTTTAAATTCATGCTAAACAAATATATTTAGATATATATATAAAAAAAAGTGTAAAGAAATAAGTAATCCGGTGTAGGTACCATATCTGCTCAGGTCCTTCGCATGGCTGTGACTAGGGTTGCCAACACCTTGTGTGCCAGCTGACCTGGTGATATTTTTTTTAGCCCTACTTTGTTTGTGAAATGATTTTTTTTTTACTGTTTAACTCAAATCTGCATTGGATTAGATGCATATTTGTGAGTAACATGAACACATGGAAAACAAATGATTATCCTGCAATTGACTTTAATAGAAATTAAACTTTGCTGAATGAAATAAGTATCTTAAACATAAGCCTGTCCTGCTTAACTTCAAACTGTAAAAATGAATAGAAAACAAATAAATGGTGTACATTTTTGGTGCAACAGCAAACTTGTTAACATATTTGTGTCTTAAGTGCAATAACTGTAGGCTATGGTTGTAAAACAGAAAAAAAATCATTATGAGGATGAGGGGATTCTGGAACGTTACATATGTTATCAGCTCATTGGTCACAACGCAGGACAGGGCCCTGTAACAAATTTACCGTAAGTTTTGTATCTAATGTGCCCTTGTCTTTCATTTTCCATTAGTTTTTTACTGACTATTTTTTTACTGTCACAGTAATATGGGACAGAGTGTGTTCCTTTTCCACTAAATATGGGACAGGTACTTCTATTTCTAAATGCGGAACAATTCCGTTTTTTCAAGGGGCGGTTGGCAACCCCAACAGTGACGTTACGCTACAGGATTGGCTGAACGTTGCCACATGATGTAAAACATAGCGGTTGCCCAGACAACGACAATAACATCATGCAGCGTCCGTTAGCGTGTCTAATGACCGATGCAGTTTTACCTGATCGATAACAAAACTGTATTGGAAAATGTGACCAACATATGAAATCCCATGTGAAATTCATCTGATATTCATAGGACTTTATTTATAAGGGGAGATTGAAAGAAGAGTTATGGCTGCTCCAGTCTGTAGTCAAAAAACAAAGGTTTCAATTTACTGGTTCATCTTAGTTAAGACTCTTACCTATAGGTATGAAATACAGATTCTGGATATAAGCTTTTGCAGGACTCTATAAGTGAGGTTTGAAGTGCATTTATGGGGGGATAAATGTAGAGCTGCTGCCCCTCTGTATAGAAAGGAGTCATTTGATGAGGTTTAAGATTCTGATTAGGATGCTGCTCAGCTGGAGAGTTGATTCTGGAAGGACAAGGAAGTATGACCAGATAATAGCTTTGGACGGACACACAGATGGATGAGAATTGAAAATGTCTGTCTCTATATCTTTAGAACAAATATAAGGAAAGTGGGAAGAAGAGCCAGACTGTTAGCGCTTACTCCCAGCTACCAGAAACCAGTGAAATCCAGTTTGCCAAAGCTGTTTCAGAAATTCAAAGCGAGGTAAGTTTCATTATTCTGTCTTAGTTGGATGTCCTGTAAACCTTTATTATGTGTCTGTACCTTTAGATTCTCTGCTCACGTTTCAGGTCAAATATAAAGAAGCAGGACGAAAAGAAGCATCCAGCTCTCTGTACTCAAAGCTCCCTGAAACTCTGGAGACTAAACACGCCAAGGAAGCTTCACAGCTGCAGAGTCAGGTATCCCATCTGGTTGCCCTCTCTAAGGACGCCCTCCTTTCTGGTCAAGCTTTAAATGCTGTAAAATCTTTTCTCAGGTGAACTACAAACAGCCAATGAATGGGTCTCTGTATCATCATCTACCTGAGACCTCTGAGACGCGGCTGGCTAAGGAGCTGAGCGACGTTTGCAGTGAGGTAAAAGCTCAGTGAGGCGTCTCTGGTGGCTGGGACTGAAAGTGCTGCAGTCAGCTGTGATGCTTTATTTCCTCAGGTGAAATACAGAGAGGAGGGACAGAAGGAGATCAGCAAGAACCTGTTCTCACACCTCCCAGAGACGGCAGAGACGCAGTTCGCCAAGGAGATGTCAGAGATCCAGAGCCAGGTCCCTGAACGCACCATCCATCCATCCACCATTCCACCTATCACTATCCATCATCCATTCATCCATCCATCCATCATTTCATCCATAACTCTATCCACCATCCATTTATCCATTCATCATCCATCCATACATCATCCATCCATCCATCCATCATTCAAACCATCCATATATCATCCATACATCATCCATCCATC